CAGCATAAGTTATATCTGGCCGTGTTGCTTGAGCTGCATAAAGAAGACTCCCAATGGCAGCCTGATAAGGAACAGGTAGCTTTTGTTCCTTACTAGTTGTATCTGCACTTTAGATAACACTTGATTTTGGTCTAATGGTGTTTTTACACCATGAGATTCATGCATATTATATTTGCAAAGCATACTCTCTACATACTGAGTTTGACTAAGGCTAATGGACCCTTTAGTTCTATCTCGTTCAATTTTAATTCCTAAGCAATAATTGCTGGTCCCAAGTCTTTCATTTCAAATTTTTCTTTAAGTTGTTGTTTTACCTAATTTTCAAGTTCTACATTATTACTAAAAATGAGTAAGTCATCAACATAAATAGTGAACAATAACAAGTTCTTTATTTTTATTTATTTTAATATAGACACAACTATCAAAAGTACTTTGCCTCAGTCCCATTTCTATTAATCCCTTTTCTAACAGTTGGTACCATAGTCTACCACTCTGCTTTAAACCATCTATTAATGCTTTGTTTAATTTCAGAGGACCTTTCCCTTTAAGTTTTGCTTGTAAAATTAACTGAAACCGTCTGGAATTTTCATATAAATGTCTCATTTAGAGTTGCCTGTACAAAAGCCATTACAGCATCCATTTGGTCAATTTCCCAATCATATATAGCTGCATAAGCTAATAAAACTCTTAATGTTACGTATCGGAAACTGGTGCAAATGTTTCAGTATAATCTATTCCCTCAATCTGAGAATAGCCCTTAGCAAACTAAACGTGTTTTATATCTTTCAATCTTGCCTACTGCATTTTAATTTTGAAAACCCATTTACATTACAATGTTCTTATCATAAGGTTATCTGTTATTTCCCATGTTTTGGTTTTAATATGGCCTAATATAGTCTCTCCATATAGAATCCTCCAATGGTGCATCATTTGCCTTAATGCTTCAACAATGGTTTCGGTTCAGAATCATACCATTGTTGCTGCTGCCATAGCTTTAACAAAGCACATTCGATCTAAATTTGGCATTGGCATTTCTGGCATCCCATGTGTGTCATAGTCCGTATAACTATTGGGAATCTAAGTTTCTGTTTCTAGTCAATGTAGGTAGCTCATCAACTACACTATGTTATCATGGCTATCATTTTGAGCAGTATTATGTTCATCGTGATTAGATTTAACACTAGCATTAACTAATTCATGATCAGACTGAGATTATCATTAACCATCCCTTCCAATTCACGTTCTGATCATCAGCTTTGCATTCTCGTATCTGAAAATGTCATAATCACGCTCCCACTGAATGAGGATTCATCATAGAATTTGGCATATTACTTGCCTTTTGTAGTACATTTCATTTTCAAAAATTGTACATCTCGTGCATTTATTATTTCATAGTTTTGGGATCTATAATCGATAGCCTTCTATCCTGACAGTACCCAACAAGCATTAATTCCTTTGCTTTTATATCCCACTTTTACGTTTTTGCTTTGGAATGTGAGCAATGCACGACATCCAAATACTCTCAAGTATTCTAAACTTGGCTTATCCCCATACCGTTTTTCATAAGGGATCATACCTGCAACTGCAATAGTTGGAGATATATTTTTACAGTGATTTACAGTTTGCACTGTTTCTGCCCAATAATTTTGATCAAAGTGAGCATCCACCAACGTTGATCATACTCGCTCAATAAGAGTTCTGTTATTACGTTCAGCTACACCCATTTGCTTTGGTGTAATGGAATGGATTTTTAATGCTGAATTCCATTTGATGCTAAATATTTATCCACCTCATTGTTTACGTACTCAGTACCATTATCTAAATGTAAGATTTTGATTGATTTGCCAGTTTGCCTTTCAACAAATGCTTGGAATATTTTGAATTTTTCAAAGACTCCAGATTTATTTTTAAAAAAATAAACAAAAGTCATTTGTGACAAATCATCAATAAAACTAATAAAGTAGCGAAAACCACCAATTGATGCTACATTCATAGGCCCACACAGGTCACCGTGTACTATGCCTAATAATGCTTTTGCTTGCTTAGCTTTTTCCATTGGGTAAATGGTTGTCTATGCGTTTTGCCTTTAATGCATGACACACAATTTAAGCAATTTTCCATTAAATGAAAAACCTTCGACCATATCTTTTAATCTGGTCATCCCTCCTTCACTTAAATGGCCCACTCTTTTATGTAATAATTCATTTGAAATATTTTTAGCAGTAATTAAAGCCCTCTCATTACATAAATCAAGAGAAGACAAATTATCTCCCATACCTGTTCCAGTAGCAACTAAATGTTTACCATCATACACAAAACATCTTTCACTTGTAAAAATACTAACCATTCCAAATACTTTATTTAAATACTTAATGGACAGCAAATTGGCTGTTAACTTTGGAACGTGTAAAACATTACTAAAAGTTACAGACTCCCTTTTTTTATTTCTAGATAAGAGGAAAGTTATTTTACCCTTACCCTCTACTTCTATTACTGAACTTCCTACTTTTATTTGATGAATACTAGCATCCTGATAATCATCTAATAATTCTTTATGTGGAGTCATGTGGTAAGAAGCACAAGAATCCATGTACCAAATATTGGGATGTGGATTAGAATTAGCTACACTAATTTCCACTACATAAGCTTCTTCCCCCTTTTTATGTTTTAATCCAACATTAGACTTTTTGTTAAACTTGTTTTCATTATATCTATCCTTTTTGAGAGGTGATTCTGACAATCAGAGCTTTTGTGGCCAAACAAATTGCATTTAAAACATTTTCCTTTAAAGTACCTTTTGCTTCCGATATTTTTATTAACAAATGCGTATTCCTTACTTTCATTGACTAGGGGTTTTGAATCTTCAGCTAACAAGCGATTTTTAACATTGTCAACTGTTATTGCCTCACCACAATTTTTCAAAGCCATTATAAGAGGTTCAAACCTATCAGGTAAATTAGCTAAAATTATTCCTGCAATTAATTCTTCATCAGGTTTAACTGCTGATAAGATGAAATGACCCTATGTAAATAGTCAGACATATCCTTACAATCAGTATAACGGGTATTCACTAATGTTTTAATTATTGAAACCTTTCTTGTGATTCCCTTATCCTATGTTTCAGCTAATACTTTCCAAGCTTCCTTTCCACTTGTTAAATCCCTTATATCATTGAAAATAATTTCACTTACCCCTTCAACTATATATGACAAAGCTTTGGTATCCTTTACTGGATCTTCTTTTGTACCCTCTACATAAGCCCATAAATCTAATTTAATAAGATGCATTTTCATGGAAAATTTCCAATCCATGTAATTTTCCCTTCCACTCAATTGTTTATGACTAAATGAACCTTCTCCCCCTGGCATTTTTTCTTTTTTAATTTTAATCAACAAGAGACAAAAAAATTATAATTTGAGATAAATTTAAATAAATTTTCTATTGAATTAATTTTATTCTCAAAGAAACATTTGCCCAAATAATTAACAGTCAAAAATATTTGTACTAGTTAAGCTTTTGCAACCATGTGCTATGGCTAACCCTAACATAACCATGTGGTCAATTCTGGTTAAAGTAATTCTAAAAATTTACAAAATAGAATTAAATAAACAAACTAACTTAACTAGACACTAGATTATTTATCCTCATTTTAATCTGGCCTGGGCCCCTAACCTATTAGAAACTCAATATAGCAGAGAGTGGTTACTTGCATGCATAAATAATACACAACATACCTGTTGGGAGTTTGGAACACAAGTAAAGTTTTATTGGAGTGCACAGTTATAGAAGAATATAAAAACAGTGGCGCCATCTATGGGCCAAGAACATATTTAAAGCTAACCTTTTTTACATAGAGATTTATTAGCATTTAAAATTATTTGCAATGAAATCTACCATATTAAAGGATATACAATAAAAAAATTAATGAAAAAAAAATTGTTAGTTTTTCTGAAAAATTTCAGTTAACCAGTGGCCATGGGCCATCAGTGAACTTCAATAGTTCAACTGAAGTTCGAACCCTGGTGAACAAGTTGGCTGCATAGAAGTTTGGGTTTTCTTCATGTGTAATGTCAGTTTACTGTAAAAAAAGTCTTCACAAAAGTATCCCTTTACCTAAACATTTAGCCTTGTATACTTTGTGATATTCCAAATAACTCTTTAATTGTAAAAAATTGCAAGTTTTTCAACTTCTGGTGATAGTCACAGAGCATTTTTGATGATTTATATGGGAACAATTTTTAAAATGTGTTATCAGGAATATTGTGTATTTTATGGATATTCTGTTCAACAAAAGAAAATTACTACCTGTTTTCCCATTACAAATATCTGTAACATAATTTCCCCCTTTTGTGTGTGTATTGCTATTTCACGAGGCATAATAGTTTAATTTATCATTAATGTGGTCTGGTAAATTGCTGGCTTTTAGAAATGTGGCCATTCTATGAGACTTTAAGATGTTTAACTTTTAAATTAAAACTCTGCTTTAGTTAAATTCAGCAATTTCAGAGTAATCTCTGCGTATAATAATTTATATCTTCATATTATTTTAAGATACTATCTCTAATTGCTGCAATTTACAATACAATTAATTTATGCTATTTGTAACATATGCCATAATATATATATATATATATATATATATTTATAAACATTAGATTTATTTGTAATTGATAAAAAGTATTTATAATGTCATACATTTATATGCTTTGGTTCCAAACAAATGGTTTTTGCTCCTCATAATACCGAGTTTTAATCATATATCTGATTGATAATTTTATTAAATCTCTGAAATGGGTGATAATTTTGATACGTGAATTAAAAAAAAATGTCACAAATAAGTATGTAGATCTTTAGCTGATTTTTATGGAAATAATATTCATCAAAGATTTAATTTGAAATTAATCATTTTATTATGTTATGTATATTAGATATCATGTTATAATATGCAGTTTGTATAAATAATTATTTAATTTCAACTAATTCCCCCCCTTTTTTTCCAGATATTGTGTTTTTTATTTACCTATATCAGAGATGGATCTATCGTGTAGATCCGAAAAGGATGAATGAATTTGGAACTAGTGGAGAAATGGAAACCCAACACTCTGAAGTTAATGGTGCTGTTTGTACTATTAATGAAGTAAAACCCATTGAAGAAAAGAAAAAAGATTAATTTTTAATCTTAAACTCTTATGGTTTGTTGTAATTATGAATTGTTGTTTTCAGGTTATATTTATCTCTCATTGTATAAAGAAAAACAGTTTTTTAAGTGAAATGTATTGGTCAATAATGTTTTTTAGTATATTTATTTTTCTTGCAGTAGTGTATTTACATTATTAAGATCTGTATTATATTTTGATAAAAGACGATGTGATATAGTTTGAGAACAAGTTTTTTTATTGTTAAATGATTGAATTATGAATCATAGCATACATTCAAACTATCTGTATTTATACTTTCATGTGTATAAAAGTATATTTTATACATTATTCCAAATTAAAGATTCAAACCATTTTTATGCGAAAAAATTTATATTTTACATCTCAAACTATAATAAATTTTAATTTTCATATTTTAATATAAAATTACCATCTCATAAATTGCAGGATTAGATTGCATAAATATAACAGTATTTTTCAAGTAAAAAAAAAATTTCATTTTGAATGAACTTGACCATGTTTGAGAATTTGTTAATTTTTATATATTGCAGTATACATATAAAGGGGCACTAAGGAATTAATTAGCCTTTAAATTAATTTATTTTGATGTTATTAAAATAACTTATTGTGAAATTAAATATCAGATGACTTTGTTTATTTTTATATATTAAGATTTTGAAATGCTCATGAAATTTTTCAGTGTTATGTGCTCAGCAAAACTCAGAAGGGAATGTGCCATCCCATATGAAGCCATTTTATAAAATGGCTTCATATGGGATGGCACATGAATAATACTTCATCTAAAGTTTTAAATTTAAAATTAATGTATAGATTTGTAAGAAATGCAAAGAACTATGAGTGTTATTTTATTTAAAGACCTGCCATAAAGTTCAACACTTTTTTAGAAGATGATTTTTTATTGTTAATTGGAAATAATTGTGCAGATGCAGAGCATTTTTATTGGTATATAAATAGCTATAGTGAACCCTGTACTTGTGAGTGCTTCTGAACATGACTCTCTCTGACTTAACCAAGGCTGTCAAAAACGTATCAGGCTGACTACCAAAGTATCTAATTTTATTATCAAAAAAAATTTTTCAACTAAACACATCAAAAGGCTAATGGGTCAAATTCTTATTATAGCTGTTAATCTGTTTTATGGAAAGCCATAGTTAATTTTTATTTATTTATGTGTTATTATTTTTAATTATTAACTTTACATACTCATCAAAATATAATTTATCATACAGTTTGAGGCTTGATTGGGCACTTATGATACAGCACTCTTTAAATGATTCTTCACATTCCTTTAATCCTTATACTATTTTTTGCCTGAGCAGATGGTAACATAAGAGAAAAGTGTTTCAAGTGATACCAGGGCAGTATCCTGTTTTTAACATTATTAAAATCTTGTATATTAATTTCAAATTTGTTAGTTCAGTGCATAAATGCATGTCTCTTCCCCCAAATTCATAAATTTCAAGTGATTGTCTCCAAAAAGAAAGCATGAATCATCAATAAGAATTGTGATTTTTTTATTGTTTTTTAGTGCCTAAGATCTGTTTTCTATACCTTAAATTATATTTACAGTACACAAATAAATTGTGTACAGTTACAGTATTACAAAATAAATAGATAAATACAAGATGAAGTTTTTCTGAATTTTCGCATTATGCGATTTGCTACTTATGTTTGTCATGATGTGTAATGTTTTAATGTAATATTAAATGGATATACTACACTGTAGAAGGAGTCCAAGAGCATTGAGTAGGTACGTTATACAAATTAATGATTTGCATCATTGATAGTCATCTTCTGTAAGACAATCACATACGCAGGAGACCAAAGTTACTGAATGTGGGTAGTTGTCTTTGAGAGGGTTCACTTTACCATTTTTCATAGCTATCAAAACTCAAATTTTATTGTGTATTCATGTGAAATGATGCATGGAATTCAGTTATAAAAGTACATTTGATTTATAATAAATTTTACACAAACAAAAATTTTAAAGGACTTCCGAACTGTTGTTTCTCATGTCATATGTATTATACATGATTTTTTTAATGATTGTTTTCAAGGTTTATTACTTTTTTTGCTCAGTCTGCTCACTTATGTTTTTAATTACACCATTCATTCAAGAATTAATAGCCTGATAATTTTATACTCATTTTATAGATTTGTTCCTGAAAATCTTATATTTTTGTTATTTAGTAATTTAGTATAAAATTCCAATATATGTACTATGTTATATTTTAATGTAATCAAATAAGCTGTATTAAAATTCCTTAAGTGTAAAGTAACTGCGGCTGGGGTTGCCATTTTGCATAGAAAGCTAGTAGAATCATAATTTGTAAATAAATAAATATTCTTAGCTGAAATTTTATATGATTACCTTTTAATATTTTTGAAAAGTGTATTTGGAAATTTGCTCATATGTTTCAAAAAAATTTTTTACGAAGAAAATTTCCTTCATGTTTAGAATACAACACTTGTATAGGCATATGTATTTTTTCTCTAAATTCATGATAGATTTCTTAATTGATTTTAAAAGAGATGCAAATTTTTTCTCTTTCTGCATTAATTTTTCTAGTAATTTGCCATATTTTTGTCAAATGAAGTGAAATTAAAAAAAAGTAGCCTACGTTACTTTGAAAGTCTCTTTTTTCCACTTTGTGAAACACTCACCTGATTGTATAATATTATAATAATATAAAATTGTCATAAAGAAATTTTCCAAAACATGAATAAATCATATTAAAAGCAATAATGCTCGTCTAACTTCCACTTCTTCTAAAATTGGAAAGCATTATAACAGTTGTGGGCTGTCCTTAATAACATGCTGAGGATATACTATATATATATTTAAAAGTGAATTTTAGATCATTCAACATTATATGTATATATGTGTGTATAATGTTTGAACGATTACACTTATTTATGTAAACGCAACGTATTAATTTTATTTAAAATGTATTTTCCCGATTGGCAACAACAGTTTTTTTTTTCAGAACGATAATATTTTGAACTGTAAGTTTTTGAGCAGTAATGTTGACGGTAATGTTTCTGAATAAAGCAAGTATTTAACAATTAATGTTTGACGGAATGTGTTTTTAATAAAGGAACTAATTAAATGCTAACATTTCAGAAGTGGGATAAACTAGAATTATTATCTAGATTTAACAACGTATTGCCTTAACGTACGCTAAGCCTAAACTGAATGCGGAAGCTCGCCAAAACTGAAAGTAGAAAGGTACGTGAATTTATAAACTGTTTATGTTATGTCTAAGTATTAAACGGAAAGAACTTAAGTATAATTATTGTATTAGTATTTGAAAATTGAAGTCTAAGATGGCTTATTTGGCAAGAGGCAAAAATGTGATTTAAAAGAACTTGCTTTGGAACTTGATGTAGATGTCCCTTCTGATATTAAAATTGTAGGCTTAAGAGATATGATTTTGAATAGTAAGAATTATAACGAAGACTTTACTAAACAAATGCTAGATAGAATTATAAATGATCGTTTAGACAGGGAAAAGTTAGAAATTTTAGAAAAAGATAAGCAATGAGCATTTGAAATGGAAATTATAGAAAAAGATAAGCAAAGAGCATTTGAAATGGAAATTATAGAAAGAGATAAGCAAAGAACTTTTGAACTTGAAAAATTTAAAATAGAAGCGGAAATCAGAAGTAGTAATGTAAATGATTCTGTTCCTTCTAATGTTAGTAGAAGTAATATTTGTGATATGAGTAAATTAATGCATAAGTATGATTTGAATGAAGGTGATATAAGTTTTTATCTAGTTTTATTTGAGAGACAGGCACGACGTATTGGGTTAGAAGAACAAAACTGGGTTTCTCAGCTGTTGGGTCTATTGCCTTATGAAATAACTCAATTAATTGCCCGTGAATCAGAAGAGAAAGCTAACGACTATAAGCACGTTAAACAACTGCTACTGAGAAAATTTAAGTTAAGCCCTGAACAGTTTCGGCAAAAGTTCGTTGCTCATATTAAAATGTTGCGTAATACATGGAAGGACTTCACGTTTGAATTAAAAAATTATTTTGAAGAGTGGCTTGCTGGATTAAATGTAACAGATTTTGACTCTTTAAAACAACTTATTATTACTGATCAATTAAAGAAGAGGGTCCCCGCTGCTATCCGAGACCATTTCATTGATGATTGGTCTAAATTCATTAATCCTGAAGAGTTGGCTGAAAAACTAGATGAATATGAAAATATTCGGGCAGGGATAAAAGTACTTCAAGTAGAAAATAAAACTTTTAGGCATAATTTAAGCCCAAATCTGGTTCTAAATTTTATGAAGGATCCTATAATCAGTATTCAAGACAAAGAAATGTTAAAGATTCCATGCAGACAGATGGTAATTTCAAAGTGGGTTTTAAAAACAGTTTTGATAATAAATACAATCTGAGAGATAAATTTTATAAAACAGACGAAAGGAAAAGGGAATATAATTCTGGCATCCGCAATGAAAAGGGTGAGCCGAAATGCTTCAATTGTAATGATTATGGACATATAGCGACGGATTGTCCTCAGCCTAAAAAAGAAATTATTTGCAGGAAATGTAATGAAAAGGGTAAATGAAAAGGTCACTTTTAAAAGTACTTTAAAAGTGTACGTCTAAGAATCCAGACTTGACAAATGTTAAAAATAATTTATCCGTGGACCAAAATTCGGGTGTTTCACCAGCTGTATATTTAAAGTATGCTCGCATCAATAATGGAGAAGAAATTACTGCAATCATAGATACGGGTTCTAGTTCGTGTTTATTGAAACAGTCTGCGGCTAAGAGACTGAATCTTATTGTAAAACCTGATGTGGAGGAATTGTTTGGCTTTGGGAACCAGAATAAACCAGCCGCTAGAACATTGGGAAAAGTAACTGTTAACTTAGAGATTGATAATGTGGAAGGAAAGGACATTACAGTTCTAATTGTAGGAGATGAAACGCAACCATGCGACTTATTAGTTGGTCGAACATGGATTGATTTACCGCATATTGCATACGCCAAGATAGGTAATACCTTGCACATACGCTATGCTAATGACTGCCCATTTTCACAGTTGCAAAATGATAGCAACACTCCGCGAATTAAACTGAAGGCTTCCCAAGAAACTCAAATCGAAAGTAATACGGTTAATTTCGTGAAAGTTAAAACTGATGAAATAAATAACGGTTATGTTTTAATAAGTGGATCGGAAGATGAGTTGGGCTCATTATTGGAAGTAATACAGGGAGAAACAGTGATACCAGTCACTAACTACAGCGATCGAAAACTAATTTTGAAAGAGAATCAATGTATCGGTAGAGCGGAAGTAGCAGAATTAGTTGAACCAAGTTCAGATCAGAAAACTGAAAATTCAAGTCAAAAGGAAATACTGATAATAAATGAAATTAAGAAGTTTAGGAGACCGATTACTTTAGAAGAAATTAAAGTTAATAACAATATTACGCCAGAGAGAAAACAGGAAGTTTTACATTTGATAAATGAGTATCAAGATTGTTTTGCATTAAATATGGAGAAATTAGGGGTGTACAAACTTAACAAAAATGGATATTAAAGAAATTGAAGGGAGTAAACATGAACGTATAAAACCAATGCCGAAGAGCTTCTATAACTCTTTTGCATCGAGAGACGACCAAATCTGTTTTAAACAAACATCGAAACGCCCGGTTTACGAATTTGTCTTGGAATAGTTTCCCCCCTTCTGCGGATGCAGTTTACCTTAGGGCCGGAGCACCTGCGAAGGTCAATAGCTTTCCGTATTTCTCCTTTATTTGCTCAAAAGAAGTCGTCTTTTAACAACTCGCGAAACCAATGCCATACGCCGTGGAGGGGAAGAACTAGGTAGAAAATAAACGAGCCGTTGGGGCGGTTTGCCGTTGCTTGAATGAACGGGCGCTACGGGCGACTTCGATGCGAAAGAGTTAAAGATAATAAATGAATGGAAGAAATATGGAATTGTTACTGAAACAAGATCTCCGTATGCTAGTCCAGTTTTACTCGTAAAGAAAAAAACAGGTGAATTACGATTAGTGATAGATTATAGAAAATTGAATTCGCAAACTGTTAAAAATAAATTTCCACTCCCTAGGATAGATGATCTTTTTGAATGTCTTAGTGAGTGTAAAGTTTTCACTACATTGGACTTAGCTCATGGATATTTGCAGATTCCTTTAACTGAAGAAGCGAAACTGAAAACACAGCTTTCATCACTCCAGATGATACTGGTCAATTTGAACGTATGATCTTTGGGTTAGCTAATGCACCTGCAGAATTTCAGAGACTTATGAATCAAGTTTTAGGTCCATTGCTTAATAAAGAAGTATTGTGCTATTTGGACGACATATTAATTCCGGCTAAATCTTGGGAAGAAATGATGGAAAAACTTAGGAAAGTGTTTGATAGATTGAGAGAAGCAATGCTGACATTGAAACTGACAAAATGCGAATTTGGAAAAGATGAAGTTGAGTATTTGGGATTTCTAATAAAATCAAATGGTATGCAACCTGGACCAAGAAAAGTACGAGCCATATTAAACTTTCCTAAACCAACCAATGAACATGAAGTTAAACAATTTTTAGGTCTTACAAGTTTCTTTAGAAGGTTTGTACCGAAATACGCAGAGAAAGCTGAGCCGCTAACGAGACTGACGAGGAAGGGATGAAACATTTCATTGGAACGAAGATCAGCAAGAAGCATTCAGTACTTTAAAGGATCATTTAACTAATGAACCAATACTAGCATTATATAATCCCGAAGCAGAGACTGAAGTGCACACAGACGCGAGCAACAAAGGGCTGGCAGGAATGCTGTTGCAAAAAGGTGAAGATAGAAAGTGGCATTTAGTTTATTGTGTAAGTAAAGGGACAACAGAAACAGAAAAGAATTATCATTCAAGCAAATTAGAATTAATGGCTATAGTTTGGACTTTGACAATTTTTAATTGGAATCCGATTTACGGTAATTACAGACTGCCAAGCTTTAGTTTATTTAAACGCGAAGAAAACTTCAAATCCTCAGATAGCAAGGTGGAGTAATCTGATCCAGGAATACAATCTTGAAATAAAGCACAGGCAAGGCAAAAAAATGAGTCACATAAATGCATTGAGCCGATCGCCAGTTGATCAGCCAGAAGAAACTTTAGACTCTATAATTGAAACAACTTGGAAGTTTGTTTTAACGCTAACGATAGATGAACAAATTCTTATGATTCAGCATTCAGATCCAGAATTACGCAAATTAATAGACATTTTAAAGAAAAAGATAAATGATAGAACGAATGCAGAGAAATATGTAACTGAAAATTACGTCTTGAAGAATAATCGATTGTTTCGTAAAGTGAAAGATCAGGGAAAAGGAGAAATTGTATATGTCATACCTAAATCGATGAGAAAAGGTATTGTAGTAAAATTTCACGATCTTTTGGGACATTTTTCAGCAGACAGAACTGTTGCCAAAATCAAGGAATCATACTGGTTTAAAGGAATGAAACGATATGTTATGCGTCACATTTCGATGTGTTTCGAATGCCTAGTGGTAAGAAACAAGGAGTACTGCATCCAATTAGACCTGGTAGAAGACCTTTTGCAATTATACATATAGATCATTTAGGACCATTCG